TTTGTCCCTAATATTTCAGGCAGGGTCAAAGCTACAATGGTGCTGACACCAGAAAACCATTCTATGACATCTTACCTTTACAGACGTACCAAAAGTTTCTTCTAATAGCTTCTAATAGCTGTGAGGCTATAAGTGATTTACTTTTGTGTGTTTTTGTCAGGCAGAAATTTATTTATAGCCCCTTAGGGTGTAAGAGGTTAAGCAATAAATTCTGAGTGGACAGTAAAGTTACTCCAAAACATTTTTTGATGAAGTTTTATTTCTGGATTGAATATTTTTAAACACATTTCCATTTACAAAACCCATTGCTTGGTTGCAATTGCAATGGAAAATAATATTATGCTGGATACATTTCAGAACTTGGCAGCAGTGCATAGAAATGCTGACTCCCCCTCACATCCACCTGCAGAACAATCCCACCTGAGAATCCGCTACAAACATGAACCATTATGAGGTTTAATATTATTATCGTTCAGTCATGCACATGTTTACATGACTAAACATTGTAAAACATAGAGCGTCACAAAAATGCATTCATCAATGCACCTGGCTTTGTGACGTAACTGAATAACAGCAGCAGACGCCACCGTCCAGGCTTCTGTTATTAAGAGTCTATGCATTAACTAAACAGCTTTCAGTCCATTTCCTCCTCCACAGGCTGCGTCTTCACCTCAATGGTTTTTGGAGGGATGTAGGAGCCCATTCCTGCAGCCCGCTCTGCCTCAGCCTGTGTGTACGGCTCCTCTCTGAGCTGCTTTAACCTGCAGACATAGCGACAGGTGAGAGACCTCGCTCCAACAACCCCAAATGCTTCTCCTGATGTTTTCTCTGTCGACCGGAAACCTACCGTTTCTTGTGCACTTTGGTCTTGAAATGCTCTTTCAATGATCTCATGTCAACAAAGTATCTCCTGCAAGACAGGGTCAATATGAATTAAACGGGTTAAATACTTTGCAAAGGGGTCAGAGCACAACTGATAAAGTGACTTTAAAAAAGGGCTTTAATGTGATTAACTTCTGCATTTAATGCCAATAAATCCCAATAACCAGAATACAGATATAAACTGAAGAACACATTGTAGTCTAAAACCATATTAGGACAAAAAACAAGAAATAATGCATCTTATAAATAGAAATTTTACATTTTCAAATTTTAGAAAAGATAAATGAAGTAAGACATGATAAAAGTAACTCGATAAAGTTAGCCTAAATCGGAAAGCAAGAAAAACTGTTTTTTTTAATCCTAATTTAAAGGACTATAACCCTTTATAGAGGTATTAATTTAAATCCAGCACCAAATAAGATAAATTAATTAATAATTTATTCTTTTAAACAATCCTCCTCATCTTTTATTGCATCTTAAAAAGTTATATTTACACGTTTAAAGGCTGAAATTGTCTCATTTTATAGCTTGATACCTTAAATTAATAGAAATATTTATCAGCGTCTGACCTGCAGATTTTGTGTTTAAAAAAGAACAGTTATTTTCTGCTCTTCAGAAATCTTACACTTTTTAACCAAAAGCCAAACATTGCAGCGTTTTCAGTGCTTTAAATGGATTTTAATTATGATAAACTCAGGAGGTTTTTTTTATACATCCTTAGGAATGAAAAACAAATTTCTATCTTTATTCTAAAGACAAAAATGTATCTGTCTACTCATGCATGCATTTCATACTATAATATAAATATACCAACAAAGTAGTTGCATAGATATGGTTGTAATCTAGTTTTATACTTCTATAGGAGCCATTTGTAGTTCGGTGTTCAGGCAGTTTTAGTCTATTTTATTTAGTGTCAATACGTTGGTTGGGTTTAGTAGCGGTATTTGGTTTGTATGTGAATAGTTTCTCTGACCTATATTCTTGCTCTAACGCTGGTGGTGCTGAGGGTAAAATCTATGTATCCATCATTCTTCACTAGACATGGAAATACTTTAGTATATTCTGCTGTAAATCGGGCTACCTTCAGCTTCACAGCCCCCCTCCCCACCCACGCTCTCTCCATTCATCTCCTGGTCGCAATTTTTCCTCACTGCAGCAGCAACGTTCACGTCCCCCTCTTTGGTTTTTGAAAGAACTTATTTATTTTGGGAAGTTTTTCCCCGTTCTTCCAGCAGCCCTTCTTTACTTTTTCTTTTCTGGAATCTGTTTAAAGGGGAACACCGTTTTTTTTATTACATGGGTCCTTGATTTTCCGTTATTCCATCAGGTTCTTCTCACACATATGAGTTTAGTGTCATTTGGAGCCGTTCTGAAGATATTTCGTTAGGTTATATCCAAGTAACGTCTTCCTATGGGCAACGACTTGAAGGCACAAACTAAAATGCAATAATTCATGCATCATGTGCGGATGAGATCAACTTTAATTGCACAGACACAACAAGAGAGAGCGGGGTGTGGGGAGGAGGCTGCTGGTGAAACCTCTGCAGCGTGTCTGTCCAAAGCGATGCTCTGATCAACCAGCGTTCCAGGCGACTGGTTGATCAGATAACTGATTGGATCAGTCCCATAAGTTTATCTGGGTTACTCTCTGGTAGTCGCCTAGTTACCACTCAAAGCAGTGCATCCTGGGAAACGGCAGAGGTTCAATCCTTGAGCAAATAACGAAAATATATAGGACTGATTTTACACTGACTTCAGTACAGGGGTCACTGAAGGGGCCTTCAGTGGCTGAGAGGAGGATGCTGTCCAAACTCACATCCATCATGGACAACACCTCTCACCTCCTGCACCAGACTGTAGAGGAGCTGAGCAGCTCCTTCAGTCAGAGACTTAGACACCATGTCTGTAAGAAGGAGCGCTACCGCAGGTCATTC